GCTACCTTTCGTCCTTGCTTCCCGCCAAACGAACCTTCTTCTTCCCGCCCTCCCAACCTCTGTCATTCTCCCGCTCACCTTCGCCCTTGCTTCCCACCAAACGAAACTTCCCCCCGCCCTCCCTGCCTCCGTCATTCTCCCGCTCACCTTCGTCGTTGCTTCCCGCCAAACGGAACTCCTTCCCGCCCTCCTAACCTCCGTCATTCAACCGCTCAGCTTCGTCCTTGCCTCCCGCCAAACGAACCTTCTTCCCTCTCTAGGTCGTCAGACATCCGCGCGAGAGAACCACATAAAGCTGAGAGACGAGGAGAGGTAGTTGAGGAGGAGGAGAAGAAGAAGAGATGGCGAAAGGAGGAGGAGAAGAGAAAGATAGGAAGGCAACAAGAGTGAATGAAAAACAGAATAGCCGCCTCATCGCGACCCCCCCTTCCCCCCCGGCTACGGATCACATCTGCACGGCGGACGTATGCAGGAGGACAGCTGACCACGAGGAGAGAGAGCGGACGTCGAGGAAACGTTATCCACAAGCGAATCTCCTCCTGGCCTTCGCCATGAGAATTCTCGTCGCGCGCAACCCGTCCCGAGCAATCCGTTCCATCTTCGTTGTCGTCATCTTCCCTGCCACCATTTTTTTTTTCTTTATTAAAAAAAAAAGCTATATTCTTCTCTCATCGATCTCATCTTCTTGCCAGTACTCATCTATCCCATCCTCTCGCTAGTCTATGTATAGTACGGGGAAACACCAACCAACCCAGATCTCTCCCTAGCCCACGGGGTAGGTTGGCACCACAGCAGTCGCGCAAGAGCAAGGCTATACCAGTCCCTCATCACGGTGATGAGGGGTGGGCAGGCATTGCCGATGGGGGAAATCGGCGGTGCTAGCGCCGAGCAATGGCCAGTCAGTGCACCTCCCCCCGTACCTCCCCCTTAACCCCACATGACGGTGTCTAATTTGACTTTCCCCTTTCCCGCCAAGTCCTTCCAGTCGTCATATCCTTTCCCGCCGTTTCTTGTGATCAACCCCGTAACCCTGGAGAACGGGCAGATGCTAGAAAGAACGAATCAGCGGGAGTAGCACGTTAGTCCCAAGATAAGAACGAAGAAAAGGATGAAAGAAAGAGAATGTAGATGCTAGCAGAGGCGAGAGGAGGGAGGAGGAGGAGGAGGAGGAGGAGGAGGAGGAAGAGGACGAGGAACAGGGGGAATGTGATGAAATCAACGTGGAAGATAATGGTGCTGCACCGTGACAGTCTGATGGCGGCCGAATTGAAGGTAAAAAGGGATGCTGGCCGGCTGGGTGGTGGACAGCCAAGTGCTTGAGACCACAAAGACGACCATCTTCCCACGAACTTAAAGCACCGTGATAAGAACAGTATACAAGCTGTCTTTCCGGTCTTGTACGGCCACAATGAGGGTGTGCTGTGAGCCCGCAATGGCAGAGATGGCGACGAAGGCGCAAGGTCGACAGTGATACCCGTAGCTACCTTCTTTCTCCAAAAACGACCGGCCCGTAATTGCATCTGTAACGGGGCTGAAAGTTCCACGAAATACAGCGATCATGAACGATATGGTGCCCGTCGGAACAAGGTAGTGATGTCGATGACATGGTACCCATCGCGTTTGATGGCCACTGGACACGTGGACTGCCCGGGTGAATCGTACATGCACCCGCTCTCCTGTTTTCCCGCTCCTTCCTTTGAGGGCCGTGCGATGTTTGGATTCGAAATTCGCATCCCTACCGTCTTGCCCCGAACATAACGCACCCTAAAAATGAGTGTATACAAGCGATGTTTCCGGCAAAATACAGCCAAAATGAGGGTGCGTTGTGTTCGGGGGAGAGACGGTAGGGGCTGGGCTATAGTTCGCAACCCACAGGGCTGCGGTATGGTGCGGTCGGGCTTCTGTGTCAAGGTGCCCGAATTCGGGCGGTGGTCGACCAGTGCAAAAAATAGGGCAGGTAGGGGTCCAAATTTCGGCAAAGTCCTTCGGGACATCCGTTAAAATTGGAACGATACAGAGAAGGGTAATTAGCAATGGCCCCTCCGCACGGATGACACGCATAAATCGAGAAACGGTCCATATAAAAAAAAAAAAAAAAAAAATCGGCATGACCTGTCCACAGTGATGGACTTCAAAGGGACTGGTCTCACGCGTCAGGCCCACTCCTACTGGCACTCGGAGGGACCGGTGGGTGGCCGGCTGCGCCAAACGGCGCTTGCAACAGGTGTGTTTCCCAGGTGATGCACGGCAGAGGTGAGGTGTGTTTCCCAGGTGATGCAGGGCGGAGGTGTGTTTCCCAGGTGATGCACGGCAGGACGCACGAGTCAGGGCCTCGCTGCACTACTCTCGAGATGTGCAAAACGAGAGTGAATCTTCCGCTAGAACATGGAAAAATACACGGCCATGATCTTTTTTTTTTTTTTTTTTTTTTTTTTTTTTTTTTTTTTTTTTTAAATCAAACACTACTAATTCATTATAATAAATGCAGAAAGAGGCTGGGGACCTCACAATTCAACCCGGAGTACTGACAGCATCAGCCAGCTTAGCTTACAGGCATACGCCTGCGGAAAGTTCGAAACAAACGACCAAACTTTCCAGATTCCTACCAACTGCTCTTGCTAAGGGGCTCGCCACACCACTATCGAATAGCGTTTTTTTTCGATAGGTGTCAGAAAAATTCGATAGTCCTGCATTCGATAGAAAACCCCCCTTTCGCCAGACTGCACTATCGAATCGAATGTTTTCCGTTCTGGGTCCGCTTTCGACTGTCTGTCGTGTGTGTGCGGGTCCTGTCGTCTAGCGCGTGTGTGGGCCGTTTTTCGATAGTCCGGAATGTGGGCTATCGAAGAGAAGGCGATTGCAGGCGGACGTGCACATTTCGTTCGATAGGGCTATCGAATTCCGATGTCTGACACCTATCGAAGAATTTCAAAGCTGTAATTTTCGATAGGCTGTGTGGCGATGCGAAACTCACGAAAATTCATGTTTCGATAGTGGTGTGGCGAGGCCCTAAGACCCAAGCTCGAAGTATTGCGAATAACTGAAATGACAGTAACCTATTCTTAGCAGTCAGCCTGCCCTCGCACTTGAAGCTATTTAGAGACTCGTGGCTTCCAGCTTACAGCTCTGTTGAACACTCATTCTAACTTTCGCATTTAACTATTCTGATACCGACAGCATTGAATAAACTGTGATAATCCAATCAAAGTAGGATTTAAATTCCTGGGCCAAGAACAATCGCTTGGCGGCAATCTCAGCTTCAACTGGGAAGCTTGTCTTATCCCCATGGTTAAGGGCAGAATAACTTACAGAAGATAACCAGGGTATTAGGACAAGGCCCCTATGGGGAGCAGAACTCTCGGGTGGGCTCAATCTGGGTCTCTGGACAGTAGGACTTGGGATTATGGGGGGGACTGTTCAACTTTAGTTATGGGAGGGGAATGGGGTTTAAGCGGGAGTTGACTTAAAGGGTAGGATTCTTGATTTAGAATTCAAGGCGGCTCTACTTGCCACTCGGTAGTTCCACATGCCTTGAGCCTTCGTGGTAGACCCCGTCCCCGTATTAGGGTTAAGGGGTCGTCTTTTAAAGTAGGAATTCGAGTGGGGTCATATGTCATTGTGTTGTCTGCCAGGTTTGTCTGGCTAGCTTCTGTTTGCTGTGTTTAGCCAGGTTGGTCTGGCTGTGTCAAACTCGTGTCAATGTCCGGGTAAAATTGTGAGGTTCCCGGCCTCTCCTGTCCATCATTTCATATAATAAAGACACAATAGAAAAAAAAAAGAAAAAAGTAGGATTTAAATAATCATGGGAGCTCCTCACTACCCGATTTACCCCCGGGACTAACCCGGCCCAGCGGGTTAAATCCTATTCTAGAGACACTCTCCTAATGGCCCACAGCGGCCCTAGTTGGGACCGAGTGCCCTGGTCCCGTGAATGAAATGAGTGACCTGTTCCGAAAGCTAATTCAGCCTGGTGTCCCAACTACCTACAGTTCCACGTCTAAACAACCCCTTCTCTTCCTGCTCTCAGAGGGGGAGCATCAAGCACCCATTTCGACAGCACCAAGCCTTTCTTGGAGTGTACCGCTGCCAGTTGATGATTTTTTGCCCAGGTCCGGAGAAACCACCACAGCTGGCGACGACTGCCCTTTCCGGATTTGGCCTTCCTCCTCCAGTCCGTCCAGATAGCGTGCTTCAATCCCTGTTTGATCGTGTGTTTAATTTCCAAGTCTGAATACGGGCAACCCTGGAATCTCGATCTGTTCCTGTCCGACCAGATGGTTTCGCAGATTAGGCGTCTCACCACATGAGCGATGTATCCCCATCCCCGGTGTGCTACGACATCTGTTGGGAGGAAACCCAACAGCACCCACCTCTCGTTCCATTCAATGCCTTCTGCCCCGAGCTCCCTCCAGTGGTGGGCCCACCAGTTCCAGATGCGTTTGGAGGCTGGGCATTTCCCACCATAAGTGCCTGGTGGACTCGAAAGGCCATCTACATCTTGTGCAGGCTAGGCTCAGCTCCATTCCTCTGCTTGCCAACCAAACCGCCGAGGGGGTTACCATTAGGGACAACAGCCATAGCAGGCTGACTTGCTTTCCATTCGGTAGGTAGGCAAGGGCTTCCCAAAGCTTCTAGAAGTCGGACACTGAGTCTGATAGATCTTCCACCCAGACGGCCTGCCAACGGGGGATTGCTACTTGTGTTGGTGTTTTCAGCCTGCTGGCGTATTGGTTGTAACCTGCAGAGATCGAGAACTTGTGTAGGCTCAGGGGACCCTCCTCCTCTGATGACGGTGACCAACTCCATGCGACTGGGTCTATACACAGCTGTCTGAGTGGCCGCCTGCCCACCCAGGTGTAACTGCAGACTGAGGGACTTCGACTTCCGGTTGCCAAGACACGGGCTTGCGGGGGGGTGTCCCATAATAGCATTATCGTGTCTTCCTTCAACAGCAACAGAATGTTATCTAGGCCTTCGCACTTCCACATCTCGATACGCCTGAAGCCACTGGGAAGTATCTCTACGAGTTTCCACAGTGTACCCTCTTCGCCTGCTTGGTTAGGTACGTACCACGTTCCTGCTGGGTCCATGCCTTCTGGCCCCAAGATGGCTAACCATTCCTGGGGGATGACTTTGATCAAGAGTCTCCAGTGCTCCTTGGTCCTCTGCAAGCCCCTTAGTATGGACTTCACTTCGGCCAACGGTTTCCATCCGCCCAGAGTGACGGACCACAGATCTGAGATTCGCACCACTCCCCTCCGGACCCAGGCCTGACCGAAAGTTCCCCGACTGCCATCCGCTAAAAAAGGCTGCCCTTCCTCACTCAGCACTGCTTGGTTTTCAAACAACAGCTGGTTTAGTACTTCCTCTTTTGTGCTCGGGGGGTCTGCTTGTCCGGAGGTACTTGATTCCACGCCCGGCGTATTGGCTCCCAAAATTTGGATTTGAGTCTCTTCTTTCGGAAGGACGGCATGAAGAATCAGGCCCAGACGTCCTGTGGCCTGCTCAATTTCCAGTCTCTCATTAGGATCCGTTCAGCCATTGTCACCCAGTGCTCCCGGGTTTTCATGGTGGCTACTTTGGCCAGCTAATTACGCAGTTGAGCCTGATTCCTTCGGGCGGGGTCCAGCAGGCCCAGGCCTCCTTTGGACCGGGGAAATGTGAGCGTGTCCCACGCTACTTTGGACAGGAAACCTTCAGATGTCTGCGACCGGGGCTTCCACAGGAAACGCGCTACCAGCCTCCGCACCGCCTTGATCACCCCCACCGCTAACCCTCTAACTGTTGACACAAACCAAAGGATTGAGAATAAGGCTACGTTGACTACCAGCGCCCGGCCTACTAGGGACAAATGCCAAGTGTTCCCCTACAGGTTCAGGCGTGTAGATATGCGCTGTTGCAGCAGAAGCCCTTGGGATGATTCCTCTATCTGCAGGCTGATCAACACTCCTAAAAATCTCTCCTCCTCCCCTCGCTCCACTCTCCGCATTCCCCATTCAACTTCCAAGGAGAACTGTGCCGGGAGTAGGTAGGTGGATTTGCTCTAGTTCACCGTTGCCTCGGATAGAGTGGAGTAATCACACAAAACCGACTTGAGAGAAGACAGTGAGGAGACAGAATTCTTGCTTATCGCAAATATGTCATCTGCTAAAGCTTTCACTTTGCAAACTTCTCCAGTGTGCAGGTGTAGGCCCCTAATGTCCGGGTGTTTGCGTATTTTATTCAGCAGAACCTCCAGTTGCAACACGAAGATCAGGGGGGCTAGAGTACAACCTTGGCGCAGCGACCTTGAGAGCACGAAGGAGTCTGACAGATGGCCATTTACCATCACTGCTGAAGTTGAGAAGGTGTGCATGGCTTTTATCCAGGCACAGAAGCCTTCGCCAAAGCCCATCCTCCTCAACGTGGTGAAGACGAAGGTCCAACCGACCTTGTCGTAGGCCTTTTCCAGGTCGAGAAGGAGGACAACCATGTCCAAATTTTCTTCTTGCACCACTTCTAGGGTCTCGATCGCTGTCACTATGTTGTTGAAAATCGATCCGCACTGTACGAACGCGCCCTGGTCACCTTCCACCAACTTAGGCAAGTGCTTCTCTAGACGGTGTGCCAACGTCTTTGCAAGAATTTTGTATGACACGTTAAGGAGGGAAATGGGGCGCCAGTTCCAGATGTCCGTTTTGTCGCCCTTCATGAACAGTAACGCTATCACCCCATGCGTCATACCTTTCCCAAGCCTGCCTCCCACCAGAACCTCGTTGTAAAGCTCCATTAGCCGGGGTCCGAAGATCGCCCAGTTGGCAACGTAGAACTCCACTGTCAATCCGTCCACCCCAGGGGATTTCCCCTTGGCCATTGTTTTGACAGTTTGTGTTAACTCTTCTAATGCAAATGACCGGTCCAGGTCTAGTCTCTCCATGACCCGCAACTTCGTCATTGTGTCCTCCCACACGTCTGATTCTCTTGAGAGGTCTGTGTTCACATCCTCATCTGGTCTTTTGGTGGATAGTACGTCCTCGTAGTATAGTCTAGCGTGCTGGAGCATGCCTGGAGCTGTGCATGCTGGAGGGGAGGCGGCATCAAAAGGATGTCTTATTTCCACCATTTGATGTTGGGCCCATCTTGGCTGTAATCTTTGGAACGTCTCCTTGGTCATTTTGTCACCTGTCTCAATTCCCTTTATCTTCAGAATTTTTGTCCACCTCTTCTGTTTATCCTCTTGAATGCTGTCCCACTCCCTCATCCGTCTTTGCCTCTCTGAGGCCCACATCATCGCTGAGATCGGATGACCTTCCATGCGCTCTTCTGCTTCCTCCACCCTCTTTCTGCAATCCCCCTCCCTTTTATTCCTTTCCCTTGCTAAGATCCGTGATATGACATCCAATACCCCTGAGGTGATTGCGATGCCGCCGTCCAGCCACTCCGCTGTGGAGTCGAAGTGTTGTCTTGCGCTCTCCCAGCCTGCCATATGTCCTGCTACCCAGTCTGCCACCCCTGGTTCCTCCAAGACTTGGTTGTTGAGGCGAAAGAAGCCGCGCCCTCTAGTCATGGCGAGATTGAGACGGATATCTGAGATCACTTGCTTGTGGTCCGAGTCCGACAGCGGGTGACTCACGTGTCTGACTGCTGTGACTTGATTTTGGAGTTGTTCACCGATTAGGAAATAGTCCAGACACCTTCGTGTTACCTCCTGTCGGTCCCAGTGCAAGTGTGAAAACCATGTGTACCCAGGGTCCCCCGGGTTCAGCGGGGGGAAAGGGTCCACTAGTGACAGATCCGTGTATAGGTCCAGCAAAGATCTGACATCTCTTTTGTCTGCTTGGGCTAACCCTAGGCGCTGAGCTTCATCCAATGACACATTCCAGTCCTCGCCCATCACCAGTCTTTCCGCCTTCGGAATGTGTAGGACTAGTCTTGTGAAAAACTTTGCTTTTTCGCCTACTTCTGTTGGTGCATAGTATACCGTCATAAAAGCCCACTCCTCATTCCCCACCTCAACCTTCATCCATGCCCATTTGCCCCATATGTCCACTTCTAAATCCACCACGGTCGCCTGGAGGTCGCGATGAAGTAGGATGCACACTCCTCCTCTAGAGCCTTGCGCCGGAGCCCATACCTGCGGCCCCTCCCACCATAGTGCTATTTCTGCCAACTTTCTCTCACTCAACTTCGTTTCCTGCAGCATTATGCAGGTTGCTTTCCTTTCGTGGATTCAGGACTTCAAGCGCCCCCTTTTGGCTCTACCCCCTGTATCTCCCAGTCCCTGGACGTTCCAAGTGGCGATTTTAAACCTGTCCATTGGGGAGGGAGGAACCCGCCTTAGCTTGGATGTGGGGGGACTGTGCGCCTGCACCTGAAAGTTTGGCTCTGTCGGCGAAATTTCTGTGCCGGTGGTTGTGTGTGCCGCTTCTGGATGAGCTGATGTGTGAGCTTGATCTCCATTCTTCGGTAAGACTGTTCGCCAAAAAAGGTGAGTGAAAATCCTCCTCCTTCAATAATTTCTCATTCACATTGATAAGGAACATTGTTCTCACTCGCTGCATGATTCGTATGCTGTCCAGATCCTGCCTGTTCCTTTCCCGGATTGTGTCCATGTGGAACCATCTGATCCCCGCCTGTGACAGCGTGCCTAACATCTCTGGTGGTATTCTTGCATCCATCAGAGGGAAGTAAAACTTCCTGTAGCCTTCCATCGTTTCACAGATTATGTTGGTCATCGTGGACCGTGGAATCAGTCTAATTGGTACGTGTTCTCCATAAAGTTTCCTTGTTACCTCCAAGATCTTGGACGGGGTAGGAGAGCAGTCCACATCTGCAGAGGGCAGCAGTGGTTGGCCCTCCCCATCTGTTGTCGTGAGGAAGAACACGCCCCTATCTGTGTGTGTACACAGCAGGGGTACTAATCTCCTCTGAAATGTTTCCATTTGGTTCCTGCCTATTGCGTCCGCTTTGCGATCTTTCACTACTACCTTCCTGGTGTCCGCTGCTCGTTTGGACCCTGATCCTGCCGAGCTTTCTAAGGATGACCCCTCAGATTTTTGTGGTGCCCCTTCGTCCTCTTCCTCACAAGCACTACCCCATCTTACTCTAGAGTGTGAGGTAACAAACGTTTTCAATAGTTCTTCCTGCAGCTTGGTTTTGCCTGGCCTGAAGATCTCTGGACCATGCCCTTCCCCGACCCCTTCTTTATCCCCGATCTCCACCTCTTCTCTTAGCGTGGGGAACTGTCGTGATTGGCCCTGACTCCACGTCTCCAAAGCCTCCCCTCGGCGACTCCACGTGTTGTCTCTTCCAAGGTCCCATCTTGACGTGTTACTTCTCTGACGCCGTCGGAGGAATGGGGCCCCACTGTCCCATCTGGGAAGATCCTGATGGTGCTGGTGCTGGCTCCTGTCCAGCTCCTTGGGGGCCAGGCGCCTCCAGTCATATGACTGCGAGGGATACCTGGGGCGGGGGTGATCTACAACCCCGTGCCCCAGGTTCTGGCCTGGGCTTTGGATCCAGCCTTGGTGCTGCTGTTGATAGAAAAAGCCTTCCTCCTGCAGCTCGTGTTGTGCATACTGTTCCTGCCACGTCGGATGAGGAAGGTTGCTGAGGGCTCCTCTTTCCATCGGGGTCTCGCCGTGTGGCAAAGTCCCATACCCTCCTTGCCAGTCCTCCCTGGGTTGCCATGGTGGGATGAGTGATATTCCGACTGCTTTGCCATTGTCCTCGTTCCAAGCTTTCTCAGTTCCCCATCTCTGAGGTGGGTCTTGGCCTGCTAACTCCTGCTGACCAGCACCATTTGGCCAAATTTCTTGGAAGCTCTGTTGGTAGACGCCTTGCAGTTCGACACCTGGGGCTCTTGGGCAAGCCCCCTGGTACACTGCACTCGGTTCTTGGCGGTGTAGGCTTGGACCCGCTGCTCTATAGTTGGGCTGGCTGTCTTGGTGATGTGAGTGCGCCTGGTGTGATGTGAGTGCCGGCTGCTCCGAAGGCCTCTGCGCTTGGCCGTCTGTACCTCTTACTCTCACATCTTCCCTTGCTGGGCCTTCCGTCCTCTCATGGTTTGAAACGAACTCCCGGTATCGAGCCTTGTGGCCCCCTTGTCTTTCCCCATTGAGTCTCCGACCTTTTTCTCTCTGACGGCGGGGACAGTTTTGTTCCGTATGATAGTACCATTTACACCGACGACACCAGTCGGTGTAAGGAGATACAATTTTCACCGTCCAGCGTTCCCCATGTGGGGATTGAATCACCAATTCGTCATCAATCCGAGACCGAGATACAATTTTCACCGTCCAGCGTTCCCCATGTGGGGATTGAATCACCAATTCGTCATCAATCCGAGACCGAGACTCCGACGACATATCGAACTTGACGTTCATCAGCTTGGGACGGTCTCGATCGTACTCTGGGTTGAGAACCTCCCCGAACACCCCCTTGATGGCACTCCTCGGGTAGTAGTAGGCTTCAAGTGGAACCCTTAATGCCATGATCCAGAACTTGGACTCTGCTTCGTGGATACGCACGTCTTGTAGCTCTTGCTTAGAGAGTCTCGGCTTGAATAGCATCAGGTACTCCTTCTGCTCCAGTTTGATCCTCATTTCACCTTGATGTAACAGCCACTCGGCAATCTCCTTCGCCTTGGCTACGTAGGAGGCTACGTTAGGGCCTTCAAATTTGACCCTCCCCCTTCTGGCTTCAGGGTGGAACAGACGTCGGGCTGTCCACCCATCCTCGAAGGCCCGGATTAGATCCTCTTTGACATATCTCACAAAATTTCTGGCTTCCCCCTGGAAAATGACTATGATGGTCCTTTCCTTCAAAAACTGCTCTTTTACTTCATTCACCATTTCGTTCACTACAAAACGCTTGCCCTCTGCGTCCTCCACCACTTCTCCTAAGTGGATATCCTCCGGGCATATTCCCTCATCATAACAGCGAGTAACCAAGGCTCAGACTGTGTTACAAGCTTCCTCTGATGTGAGAGGATTGTGGATCTGTTCCGGAGCTGCTCCTGGCAGGCTTGCCATTCTTCGCCTACCTTTTCGTTACTACCCCCTGTGGGAAGAACCGAAAACGTTTCAAGTGTAATCAAAATTCTCTCACTTTGATTACTCTGCCCACTCACGGATGGATTACCCACACGCTTCCCTAAATACCCCTACTGGTCCCACAGCGAGGTGGAGGGCTGTAAACCGGAGGGAATGGCTAACGGACCTGCGACGGTTGATGGTGTGAGCGTACGAGATAGGTTGGGGGAGACGATAGAGTCACGAAATTAGGTATCGTCTCTCCCCTACCCACGACCCTGTGTACGACCCCTGCTTTGGTTATGACCTTCCCTTGCCTTGCTTTATCGGATATAGGCGAATTGGTGCCAGCAACTCGCATTACCATTGTCCCTGTTTACTATTGGGGCAAGAGGTGGGAAAACCGCCGAGGTATTAGCTCACTTTGGTGAGTTTACCCGTCGGTACACCTTCTCGACATTAATTATCAAACTGCTCGCCGACAGACTCCAAATAGCAAGGGAGCTCCTACAGAAGGCTTCGCATACTGCACCCTTTAAGACATTCGCTGTTCCTTCGAAAAACGGCTATGTAGAGAGAATATTTCGGTAATTGGACAGATCATAGTGAGTAGGTAATCTTAGGAGATGTCAGAGCCGAAAGGCGTTCGGGAAGGAGAGTGTTACGCGCTCTACATTTTACCGTGGTGGAGGATTGGTCCATGGGAGAAGACTACTCCGGCTCGCAGCCCTAACTGGATTGAGAGGAGAGAATTCCGCTTCGAACTTTAACTTGCGTGGAAGTTACCTATACCTACTTCCGGAGAGCGCGACCCTAAACCTTTCTCCCGACTTTGATTGATATGAAAGGTAGAGGGTAAAAGGTAAAAGGTAACTTCTGTCCGTAGTGAGTGAAATTTTCCTCCGTGCACAGTTAAACGACCGTTACTTGTGAAATCTTGTCATCACCCTTCTCCTACATCCTTCCTTCCTTCTGTAAGAGATGAATCATGGATGAAGGACGTGTCTCCCTCCTACCCAACCTTGGCTATGGACTACCCGAGTAGCACGACTGCAGGTTGGGCAAGCCCCACCTCCGAAGGGGAGGTGTGCAGTGCGTCTCCCGACCTTCGTCTCGACGGCGGAGGTATCGGTCAGGTAACGCCGCTAGCGCTATTCGCCGGCGACGACAACGGTAACGGAGCGCTACGCTTCTCCGCCCGGTACCGCTGCTCCCGTCCTTCAACTTTCGTAGAGCGGATAAAATACAAATCCCTTTTGTGCATTTCAAGAGTAGTGCAGCGAGGCCCTCATACACACATGCTCAGTAGTGGTGGACTTATCTACAACACGGTCCTTTTCACTCTCTCTCTCTCTCTCTCTCTCTCTCTCTCTCTCTCTCTCTCTCTCTCTCTCTCTCTCTCTCTCTCTCTCTCTCTCTCTCTCTCTCTCT